CTGGTTCATTTACCAAGTGGACACAACGGCTGAGTTGAACTGAAGCCAGGAGCCAGGAGCTTCTTCTGGGTCTCTCACATGGGCACAGAGTCCCAAGGCTTTGGGCCGTCCTCCACTGCATTCCCAGGCCACACGCAGGGAGCTAGATAGGAAGTGGAGCTGCCAGGATTAAAACCGGCGCCCATATGGGATCCCGGTGCACATAAGTCAGGGATTTAGCCACTAGCCTACTGTGCTTATTTTTAACCTTTACATAACATATCGAATTAAAAGTTAAGTCATTAGTTAGAAAAATACCTGCAGATTAATAGCCAGAATATACATATAAGGAAAAGACAAATGAGACAAGCAAACATTTAATCAAAGAGGGAAACACTTCTAATGTTTCTATGGAAAGTAGTCAAGAAAATGCAAAACAATTAACAATGAGACACCATTTCACAACCAAGGGAGTGGCAAAAAATTAAGTCCGGCAACAGCAGGTCATGTTGAGGATCTAGAGATACAGGGAACGACTCCCCCTTGCTAGCAATGAAGTGGACTGTTATCACAACTTTGGAGAGCAATATGGTGAGTGGAGTTAAGGCACACACAATCTGCAAATCAGCAACTCCACTTTTGTAGGTACGTTAGAGAAACTGCCCCACATGCCCCAGACTGTTTTTCAGAGGACTGCTGAAAAACGAGGCTAGGTTAGAGACAGGTATTTGGCCTGGGGGCCGAGCTGCAGGGTGGGCAGATGGCATCCAAACTGACCTGCAACTCCAGTCCTGGCTCCTGTCCGCCTGCACTCTCCTGCAGTCACACCGCCTGGGAGCAGTGGGTCTGGCTCATGAGGTGGGGACCCTCAAACCCACGTGAGGAATCTGGATTGCGTCCCCAGCTCCCGAGTCAGACATGTGGCGATTCAGCCACCGAGTGGGCGAAAGCTCTGTCTCCACCTCTTAAAAAAATGTTTGGAAACATAGAATTCAGAGGTATGTTTAAAAGATGAAGATGAGGGAGCCAGCACCGTGAAGTTGTAAGCTAATCGTCCACCTGCTGGTGCTGGCATTCCATATGGGCGCAGGTTTGTCTCCCCGCTTATGGCCTGGGAATGCAGCAGAGGATGGTTTAAGTCCTTGGGCCCCTGCACCTCGGAAGACCTGGAAAAAGCTGCTGGCTTCTAGCTTTGGACTGGCCTAGATCTCTCCTTCCGTCTCTCCCTCTCTCTTAATAAATCTCAAAAGAAAAAAACTTAGAAAGTTTGTCACTATGGGATTTTTTTCTTTAATTGTGATGATGGATATCGGGCCTAGCAGTTAATGTGCCCATGTCCCACACAGGGTACGTGGGCTCAATGCATGGCTCTAGTCCTGTGCTGCAGCTTCATGTCAGTGCAGGGCCCAGTAGGCAGAAGTGACAGCTCATGAAATCAGGTTCCTATGCGTGAGTTTCCACTCCTGGCTTCGGCCTGGCCAAGCCTTGGCGCTGTGAACCAACAAAGAGGAACTCTGCCTCCAATCTATTTTTTAAGTTGTGGTAGCATAGTATTTTGTATAAAATTAAGCAAACCTACTATGTGGTGACTTAAAAACAAGTAACAAAACTAAAACAATCCGACTACCACACACCCATCCTGTACCTTCATTAACATCCTCTTGGCATGTATCACCAGTGTCCACAGTTGAAATTCCATTCCCTCCCAGATGCAGGAACAGTGTAGTAAAGCATCTCCTGCTCCATCCGTGGAGCATGCGAGGGATGGCAGGCTCAGAGACCCTGCTGAACTTTGATTTCCAGAGACTTTTCTCAAGAGGGAAACAAATTTGCCTCACGTGTCCTTTGCAATGTGGCTGGCTCCTTTAGGTCAAACCCGTCTGCTTCACCTCACTGTATATGCTTTGATGGCCTGGCAGGCGTCGCTGACTGCAGCGCCAGGAGACCCCTGCCCTGCTGTCTCACCAAACCAAATGCTGCCAGAGTCACTAAGACTTTATACTTACGTTTACATTCAAACTCGACACTAACCAGGTTTTGAGAGCTCGGTGTATTTTGTGGCTCTGTAAATTATTTACATATTATCACGTATAATTTTTAAATGAACACATAAAAGGGATATACACACACCAAGTTCCATGCAGTGCTTGTTTCTGCAAGAACAAGAATGAACAGGCCTGGGGGGCACTGTGGCACTGCCAGTTAAAGCTCTGCCTGTGAAGCTGGCACCCCATATGGGCACTGGTTTCAGTCCCAGCTGCTCCATTTCCAATCCAGCTCCCTACTAACGTGCCTTGGAAAGTGACGGGTTAGGCTCTTGTACCCAGGTGGAGAGGCCGCAGCAGCTCCAGGCTCCCACGTCCAAGCTGGCCCAGCCTGGGGCATTACAGTCATGTGGGGAGTAAAACAGTGTTTGCAAGATTTCCCTCTCTGTCCTTTCTTTCAAATGAATAAATCTTTTGAGAAAAAGAGGGCCCAGCGCGATGGCCTAGCGCCAAAAGTCCTTGCCTCGAACATGCCCGGATCCCATATGGGCACCAGTTCAAGTCCTAGCAGCTCCACTTCCCAACCAGCTCCCTGCTTGTGGCCTGAGAAAGCAGTCGAGGATGGCCCAAAGCCCTGGGACCCTGCACCTGTGTGGGAGACCTGGAGGAGGTTCCTGGTTCCTGTCTTCGGGTTGGTGCATCACCGGCTGTTGCAGTCACTTGGGGAGTAAATCATCGGATGGAAGATCTTCCTCTTTCTCTCCTTCTTTCTGTATATCTGACTTTGCAATAAAAATAAATAAATCTTTAAAAAAAAAAAGAGAAAGAGAGATGCTTTTTAAACTAAGGTAATAAATATTAGCAAAGCAATAATATAGTTTAGATATGGGTAGAGCTGGTTTGTTACTCTCTGCACTTTTCTCTATTTTTTGATAAATTGATGACTTTTTCAACAAGTGATAAATTAGCCTCCATAAGAACTTCAGCCTACAAGTACCAAAGCAGCGGGCTGGTGCAATGGCTTATGGTTAATGATCACCATGCAAGTGCTGACAACCCACGTGGGTGCTAGTTTGTGTCCCAGCTGTTCCACTTCCCATTCAGCTCCCTGGTTGTGGCCTAGGTAAAACAGCAGAGGACTGTTCAAGTCCTTGGGACCCTGCACCCATGTGGGAGACCCCAAAGAAGCTCTTGGTTCCTCCAAGCTCAGCTCAGGTGCTTACGGCCATCTGGGGAGTGAAGCAGTGGCTAGATATCTGTCTCGCCTCTCTGTAAATCTGTCTTCGCAAAATAAATAAATAAATAAATCTTTAAAAAAACAAAGCCAAACCACAAGTTTCAAAGCTCCTTGGATTCACTTGAACTGAACTTCAGCCATAGCCCCCAGGCTTGCTACAATCAGCGAAAAACTGCCTCTGAGAACAAAACTGGAGCTGGAAGAGCAGTGGAACCTTGTTTATTCTCCACTACATCCTGCATATTTTGCCATGGGGACCAAGGGAAGAGGAGAGGATGAAGACCTGGAAGCTCCCTGGGGAACAGGAGCAGCATCAGGAAGCAGACACATGAAAAAGGGAGAGACAAATCAGCAGATGCGAGAGATCCGTCTCTCCCGCCCTCTTTTCTGTAAAACTTCCAAATAAATTAGTTTTAAAAAAAATCCTCATCAGGGTAGATTAGAACCAAATTAGCTATAAGGCTATTGTTTTAATATAATGCAGTCTTCAAGTACAATCCCCAAAATACACAAGGAGCATGGGAAGGGTAACTCATTTCACCGTGACAGCCAGCTGGGACAGGCCGACTGCCACCTGTCTTTGGTTGCCACAGATTCCTTTTTGCCTATCTCCTTGTCTGGGCCTCGCTTCTGTAGCTCAGGTCCCTCTTCTAAATCATCTGTCATTGGAGTAATTTCAGCAACATTACATTTTAAAAAATACTTACATTTTAATAAAAATCTATAATTCATATTAACTATGAAGTATCCTGGAATAATCTTTACTATTTTAAACCACAGGACAGTAAACCTAAAGGGTCTAAGCTGAAACAGTATACTTTCCAAGTTTTGTCCTTCACTTAACACAAGCTCCATCACCTCATGTTGGTTTCTGAGAGCTGACCACACAGCAGGTATGGGACAACACACTCATGTTTGAAGACAAAATCACTTTAAAGTATTTCATATTTTAGTTAGTATTTCGTACCCCCTTCTCTTGCCCATACTGTATATAGTTTGTGAGACCAAACAGAACTTTGTGAGGTCTAGAATACTCGATTAAATAAAAGGAAAAATGTGGCCAACTTCAGATCTGTAGCAGTAAAGCGAAACAGAATGAATACAGGAGTGCCCCCTCTCCGAAATGCATGGGACCAGAAGTGCTTCAGATTCCAGAGCTTTCTGCACTGCAGAATCTTAGCGCACTTTCAGACAAGCAGCTCCAACCCAAATACCCCAAATCCAAGACTTGACAAAGTTTTGGATTTTGGAGCATTTCAGATTTTGGGTTTGTGGATTAGGGATACTCAATTTACAGTATGACTTTGTAGTAGTGGGAGTAGTCAGTTCCCATTCTTTTAAATCAGATAAATAACCATGGATGCTCTATTACAGCTTCTCAAAGTGTGGTCCACATGGCAGTGGTGTGCAAATTTCCTGAGGTACTATTTATAGTTCGCAGACAGCTGGACCCTAAAAGCAAACTTAGGAATCAAAATTTCTATGGTAGATCAAGAAACCTGCATTTCAAAACAAGTTTTCCCAACTGTTAAATAGGGATTGATTTGAGAAACCAATGGCAATAAATCCTTTTAATTTGTCCTTTAAAAAACCCAAAACAAAAATAAAGAGCTTGTATCTTGACTAAAACATAAAACTTGGCATACATGGAGTGCTTGTTAGTGTGTAATCTTATACCATAAGGGAGTCAAGTGATTGATCTGCACTGCTCCAAAGCAAAATGTCACTTTTTAGTTAGAGGTCTTAGATAGTGGATGAGTTCTTCATTAAGGATTAATGATACACTAACTAGTCTTCACTCAGTTTAGCAGTCCACACAGTTTATTCAGCAATGGAACAGGACAGAACCTTCAGGATCATAGATATAAGGCAGATACAGGCAGGGGCTCTGGGGTACATTTTTTTCATACAGATCAACAAGTAACTTTCAGTGTTACAACATGTTGCAAGTATGACCTGTTGCATACCAACAGCCATTCATCCCCCACTACATCCCTTCTACAAGAACTCTGCTTCCCAGCTGAGGCCAAGCGCCCTACCCAGGTAAGGTGGACCCCCGCAGCCCTCTGCCAGCTTTCCCAGGCTCCCTTAGTGCTCAGTGCCTTTTAACGAGATCTAAAAAGAAACGTGCCAGAGACTGTTGGGAAAGCCTCTACTGCAGGTTAACAACACACTTGAAAGGAGAAGCTCTGCTCTCCTTCGTTTAAGCCTTCTGTTGCAACTGAAATGCCTGGTGCGGCAACAAGCCATATTGTAGCCAATGAGGACAAAAAGCAAACATAAAGATAATTTCCCCGGGGAAGGAGAGAAAGAACCGGGGTTCTTAGTAATATTATAAAATTACTACATTAGCACTATATTACTTAGTATCTTATAAGCAGTTTTTCAATTGTCCAATGGCCTGTGAGATATTTTCAGAAACTCTAGTTTCGTGATGTTCATGAATAAGTAAAATAGTGTCATCCATGTCCAGCAAGATTTTCTTTCTTCAAAGATTCCCGCAGGGTTGACACTCCCATACAGCTGAGTAGGGAGAGCGCTCTTCTGTCTCGGGAGGAGGACACTGCAAGTTACGCAACCCCAAAGACAAGGTAATGTTTACAAGGAGCCAAGTTAAATGTAGACAGGTGGCATTTCTATATGGTTTTAAGAAATTACAGGGATGCTGCCCAAATCAAAGCAGTTCCTCTGAAAATGACCAATTCTTGACATGGTCACAGCCACAATCAGGTTGGGCCAAAGAGAGCCAGTGACAAATAAATAGTAACACATGAATAAATTGTAGACATAAAGCCAATGATCAAGATGCAAGAGGTGGAATTTGAAACAATGCAGTTCTCGACAGACTTACTGCAACAATGCAGGATCCAGTTTCTAAGAGGGCGCTTCCCCACACACGTTACCAGAGGGACCTGAGCACCCGGTGCACGGCCTCCTCTAGGGCTATCTTGTCATACATCAATAATTACATTGCGGAACTTTCCAGGTGGAATAAACTAGTTCCAAAACATCATTTAAGAGGGGAAATGGATTTGTCTGGTTCTAGGTGAACAGTCTGGTTGGAATACTCACGATATTCTTGCTGAACAAAATACGCGTGGGCTATGAAAACACATCCAACAATTTATGTAGTTCCCCCAAATTAGTGACAGTTTCGCTCAGATTTAGAAAGGAGTTACTTTTCCACATTTCTTGAGACTCTAGACTCTCCATGATTTTGACCGTTAAAAGATACTATTTGCTTTGACCAAGTTTCTTGTTTAAAGTTTTGTCTGTTCTGGTCAAGATTAACTGTAACGCAGGGTTAAAACCGGCAACTCTGGAATCATGGATTCTTTTTCTAACCAGTGGAGGACCCAGAAGAAAGGGATGGCAAGCTTTTTCAAAGGTCCACCTGGTCAGATTCTGCGGAGCCCACTCAAGAGGGAAAGACCACGGGAGCACAAGGCTTCTGTTAGCTGGGTTATCGGGGTAGCACTCAGGGCAGTAGTCAGCCCTGTTAATACGGTCTAAGAATACTTGGTAACATTCATTCTCAACAAGCTCAGTCTGGTACAACCAGTGGCCTAGTTCTAAACTAGGGAACCACTGCTGTCCACAGTCAGGGCAATGTGAATTATCTGAGAACATTTGGACCTACAAGGACAACACAAGTAGCAATGTAACAGCAAGAGGCAACAATGACAGAGATAGAAACCCAAATGACCAGTCCTATTACAGTTTGACTTAGTGATTTCTCAGTTCACCTGGTACAATTCTTCAAGATTCCGTAGTCTAATTTCACTCAATTGCAACTCAGTCCCTGAACTCAGGAACCAATGCAGTCTATAAAGGAATCAGTCACTTACTAGCAGCACAGATCTCAGAATAGCTCCTTCAAATCCCAGCTTTAAGAAAAACACTGTTCCAGTCGTGGGTGGTGGGGTGACACCGAGGCACTTGGCTTACACTACTTCGTTGGGAAGGTTACGTCTGCTTGGTAGAACAGCCGAGCTGAGAGATCCAATGGTTCTTATGCTGACACCAGTACTCTTGCTGTTGTAAAACAGGTACCCAAGTCTTAAGGCCTTGGCACTTTACAGAGATGTTATAGGGTTGAGGAAAACCTGGGTGAGTCTTCTTGAGCGTAGATCCAGTGAAGTCTGTCTTGGGAGGACCTGAACCAGGGCACAGTCACAGAGAAGTAGCTGCTGCTGAGTTGGTTGTAGGGTCTGGGAATGTGTCACATACCTGTAAATGATAAAACTTGAGACGACTCGTATGGGCTTTGCAGTTGCTCACATTATTAAAACATGCATTTGAAAATTATCTGAGTCCCAGTGGCTAAGAACTGTCTCATGGGTTTCCCCTTGACAATTTGGTAATGGTTCCAACCAATTTATCCTTTTGGTGTTATTCCTATGCTCTTACGGGCTGGAGAAGGGCTTAGATCACCTGAGGTTTATAATAGGACCAGCTTAATTTCCTCCGAGGTGCTGTATTTTCTTTTGCTACTCTTTCTGCATTTTGGGAATAATAATAAAGGGGAATGAATAGTAAGGTCTATACTACTGTGTTTTAGCAAAACTTTGGAACTGCTAGATCTCCTGGATGTCTCCTCTTAGGAAATGGGTGCCATATACAGCATTCACATAACGTGCAGGACACATTTCTGATGACTGCCTTGCCACAACAGATTTTAATTCAGCCACAGAAAAGCTTACCAAAATGTTAGCTAATAGGAAGTCGAATGAGTCCTTTCAAAGGCTGTAAAAGAAACTAAGAGGGGCAGATTTCACAGCAATTATTTTTACAGGTTAATGGGCACATGGTCAGTTTGAGAGAGTAAGGCACAACAACCCTAAGCAGCAGTCCTGAATTGTGCAAACATGCACAGCCAATCAGCTGGAGTCTGCAGGTGCTCCCATTATCCCATCCTCCCTGCACTGCCTCCAGGCACTAAAGGGAATGGTAAACAAGGGAGAGGAACAGGCAAACATGAAACCACCCACGGAGGGCCACAGATCAGAGTACAACACATACTCTCCCCTTCTCCAGTGTTTGTCAATTCTCACGCCCCATCCAATGAGCAATAAGGAATGATGCTCCAAAGAGTGGTGTTAACTGCATAAATGGGACCAGTGTATGATGCAGCCAGTTCAACTGCCATCCATGCCACTGGCGTCCCATGAGCCGCCCCTCTTCTGATAATGTGCCTGGGAAGCAGTGGCGAGCCGGGGCACCTGCACACACACAGGAGTCCTGAAAGAAGCTCCAGACCCCTGGTTTCAGGCTGGACCAGCAATGGGCCAATGGTTGAGGCCGTTTGGGGAAAAGAACCTGGATGAAGCTCCTGGTCTTTGTTTGGCCATCGTGGTCCTTTGGGAATGAACCAAGGCATGAAGATCGTTCTCCGTCTCACCCACTGCAATTCTGCCTTTGAAATACGCAAGCAATCTTAAAGCAAACAAAACAGAAAACCAACTGCAGAGCTCTGGCCTGGAAAGCCAGAGTTAGGCCAGAGAAGCCTCAAAGCACTTTCCTCAGACTGTCAAAGTAGCTGTGATTCTCAGAATTCAGAACAGCAGCTGCTGAGCCTGTCAGGGCAGCAGCACAGGAGGGCCCTGAGAGCACATCACGTGCAGCCAGACGAGTTTCCTGCCATTAGGTAACAACACCTGGACAAGGGCTATCAGCTCTGGGAGCTTCGCAGACAAGGGGAGTGGCTCCCGGCAGCACAGCTTAGGGAATAACAAGGCACCAACAGTTTCAGTTATCAAAATCAAATCTTGGGTGTCTCGTCATGACACAGACAGAAGACTAAAAAAAACCCAATAAACCTGCACTGCAAAAGTAAAGCTAGAGAGCCTGGCACGATAGCATAGTAGTTAAAGTCCTTGCCTTGCACGCACCAGGATCCCATATGGGCACCGCTTCTAATCCCGGCGGCCCGATTTCCCACCCAGCTCCCTGCCTGTAGCCTGAGAAAGCAGTCAAGGACGGCCCAAAGCCTTGGGACACTGGCACCCACATGGGAGACCGGAAGAGCTCCTGGCTCCTGGCTTTGGAAGGGCTCAGCTCCAGCCGTTGCGGCCGCTTGGGGAGTGAATCATCGGACGGAAGATCGTCCTCTCTGTATATCTGCCTTTCCAATAAAAATAAATAAATCCTGGCAGTTCCACTTCCCATCCAGCTCCCTGCTTGTGGCCTGGGAAAGCAGTTGAGGACGGCCCAAAGCCTTGGGACCCTGCACCCACGTGGGAGGCCTCGAAGAAGCTCCTGGATCCTGGCTTCGGCTCGGCACAGCATTGGCCGTTGCGCTCACTTGGGGAGTGAATCATGGGACAGAAGATCTTCCTCACTGTCTCTCCTCCTCTCTGTATATCTGCCTTTCCAATAAAAATAAATACATCTTTTTTTTTAAAGTAAAGCTAGAACCAATTCCAACATTTAAAAGACATTGAATTTTTAATTTTTAGAATGATCACAACAAAATAAAAAAAATTTTTTTAATGATTTTTTAGAATGAAAAGAAGAAAATGAAACTAAAATCCAGTAAGATCTTATTTCATATCCACCACAGCGGCTAAACTTCAGCTTCTCCACCATGAAGACCCCACATACGCTAGGCAAGACCATCCCTCCCCGGACCGCACTCCCCTGCAGCAGCCGAGCCCCAGCTCTCAGCGCAAACCCTCCACGGCCCACAGCCCGCCAGCTCCAGCTAGTCCTGACTACAGACAACCACTTCCTGTTTCAGACACACCACTTGCCCTGGTCCTTCAAACCAGCACAAGGCGCTGAACGATGCCACCCAGGCCATCTCCTCCCTCCTGCATTCTTGAGTCCCTGCTGGCTGAGGAGCAGTAAAGACAGGGGTGTCTGAAGTGCTCCCGGCAAGTTCCCAGTACCCTCCCATCACGCAGCGTTCGCAGCCTCACCACGACTTGCTTCTGGACATACCACAGGGCCTCGCTCTACCCGCATTCTCTGGTCCTATTAATTCCATGGAGCCTGAACCTTGCTGGCCACCCAGGATCCCCTCAGACTAACCCTCCTTGCAGCTCCAAGAGTATCGAGACAATACCCACATCCTTTGCTTTATGTTTTTCCCCACAAAGCATGTACCACTTTGCTATCTTAGTTCAGCTACTTTCTCCACTGAATATAAACTCCCCGAGAACAGGGCTTTTTCTCTTCCTACTTACTGCTATAAATGCTTAATAAATATTTCTTGAACAAACAGATGGCAACAATAAAAAGCAATCAGAATTCTTATGTTCTAATCCCAGGCACTAAATTATTACAATCACTTGCAGAATATTGGTGGTGATACTATGCATGAACAACATTAACAGCCAAATGTTCACGGGTCATACACTGCATGAAGTGAGGTGTTGCTATGCAAGAAAATATGGTACACCCACACACAGACAAAACTGAAGAATGTGAAGAAAAAAATACACATATTTTTATATAAAGTTCACACCTACAATACATAAAGCTTAAAAACCTATCAAATGAATATAATACTTCAAGATAAATGAGCAGGGGCTAGCCGGTCCACTAAGCAGCTGCCTCCAGTGCCAGCAAACCACATGACTGCCAGCTGGAGCCTCGGCTGCTCCACTGTAGTGCCTGTCTGAGACAGGAAGGGGAAGACGGCCGACCCCGGCCCAGCCTGGCCAGCCCCGCAGACGCGGCCATTCGGGGATGAGTTGGCAGGTGGAAGGCTGATCTCTAGTTATAAATCTGCTTTTCAAAACCAAACAAAAGAAAAATAAGTAGATAACTCAAGATAACTGCTACCTTTGATGGGAGGACAGGAATGCATGGAGGGGAGCGTTCTGTGGAATTTCAAAGGTAATTACATTTTTTTTTTAGGTGGAGAGAGAACAATCTTCACCATATCACAAATCCAAGACTCACACCTCTATTCGATGTTTTGTCAATCTGAAAAGGGCAGAGTGGAAGGGGAAACAGCACTGGCACACACAAAGGGATTAACCAACAAGAGCTCCACTTTCCCACGGTGACTTCTCTCACTTACCAGGATAAAGAAGGGCCCTATAAGATACTGATCTTTGTTTTCTCACGAAATTTAACCTGCTACTTAAAGGGAGGTGGCGCACAAAAACTAGGAGAGGGGCTGGGGTGGCTAGACAGAGAGGCACCCAACAACATCTGTGAGGGCTGGATAGTGGAGCTGGTTAGATGGGACTAAGCTTTAATACCCACTGACATGCATGAGAGCCGAATGGGGTGTGGGACAGACTGGACTAGTCTGCTGCACATACTGGTAAACCAGGATAGGGGGATGGCCTGGTAGGGGTTATTGTAGGTCGCTCCAACTAGGCTGCAGCTCCCACTGGTTTCTGTGAGGGCCGAGTGTGTGCTGGGCAGAACCAGGCTGGACTGAGGCACCCATTGGTTCCAGTGGAAGACAGGGAGGTGGCTATTTCATTCTACACTTCAGAAAGCAGAAAAATGCACCACCCCCCAGGGAATAGGCAGCCCAGTTCCTCTGGCAGACAGCAGGACACGGTAACCCTGCCAGCCCATTTGTGTTCTGAACACTTTCTGCATATTAACTCAATTAAATCTGCAATAATCTAAGGAAAGACTATTGTCTTCATTTTATGGTTCATGAAATAGTGTTAAGCAACTTGTACAACATTAAGTAGAAAGTTGTAGCGAAACTAGATCTGAATCCAGGCAAACTGGTTTCAGAAACTCTACTCCCGTAATTACCATATAAAACCATGCCTTCTCTGAAACCGCAACAGCTAACCTTAGAGACTCCTCTTGCAAGCTATCTGCAAAGATCCGACACTCTACTGCACTGAACTGAGGGGTCCACACAGACCCAGGACACG